TGGTCTCTCATTAGAGAAATGGAGGAATTATATTACAAGGAGGTAGAAGAAGTTCATAAAGTGAACGATCTGTCATTCCTATGAGAATGACATTGATTTTGAATGTATATATATACGATAGCTGACGCGACTAGTTCAATAAAATTAAAAAAAAAGGCACAAAAAATATTGAATTCATTTGCATACAAATAGTATTCTTCTCTAATCCTTTACAATGAAATACTTAAAAGTGGGTTAAACAAATAATTGATAAATTATTATACTGTTTTAGTAAAATTTTTAAGGTATATCAGAAATAGACAAATCTCCATTTAATTAATTTGGATTTAAAATACATTTGACATTAAAACACGACAGTTCAATGGCGTAAATAAATCTTTATTTATATGTTTTTAGGTAACCTCCTTTAAATAACACTTTAAAAGTGGAATCTTATTTAAGTTGAATAAAAAAAAAAAATTTTTTTATTAAAAAAAAATGCTCCTAAAATACGATGCTGAAGTACGCATTATAAATTAAAAATCAATTTTTATTTAACATGGAAAATTATAAAATTCTTTAAACAAAAAAATATTTTTTTATAATTTATTGATTAATAAGAACTACAAAAAATATTTTTCAAGCAAAAAATTATAGAATTTTTATTTTAAAAAATTATTTCTTTAAAAATCGTTTATTATAAACGTTGCGTACTTCAGCATCGTCCTAAAACCCTCATACAACATAGCAATCCTAATATGTAATGACTATTTCATAGAAAACAACGTAGATTATTATAAAGCGAACATAACTTTAAAATTTAGGTCAATGGTTAAGATTTAAGTGCATATTATTTAGAAACAAATTGTTTGAGAATTAAACAAACTAAATTGTAATTGTAAATTCATTTGTAAATAAATGAAATTAAATAAATTATATTATCATTATTTTAATTTTAGTTCACAAAAATTAAAGTCATAAAGAATTTGTCTAAAAATTAAAATGTAGAAATTATTAATAATATATAATATTTAAATTAAGAAAAACTTTATTATTTCAAAAATATGTAATATGTATAACTAATCTTTCTTTTGTACGTTTTACATGTACATAAACGTTTTTCATTGACTGACGTAATAATGTTTTCAAAATTATTAAACTATTAATTTTGGTGTAGAGGAAAGCATGAATAGGAATAAAAAATTAATTAAAATTTCCCTTTACACGAAAGTTGCTTTTATACGAGTAAAATATATATATATATGTATTCATAAAATGAATATTAACGAAATCAACTTTAATTACCTAAATAAAACTTTATAAAGTTGTAATACGATTAAAGAGAAATTTATCATAAACAAACAGTAGAATATAAGCTCTTTTTGAAAAGAGATATTAATTTTTTTATGTTTGAATAATTTTCAAGAAAGAAATACGTTAAAACTAAAGGCAAAAATTTTTTTTTTTCTATTTTGTTTTATGTAAATAATTTATGTAGACATCGATTTTCTAAAATTTATATTTAATAACTATCATTAAATTTTTACTTTTATTTTATTCTATAATATTAATAATAATTATTATACCTTTTATTTGTAATTTTTACATTTTTGTTGCACGTAACAGATAAATAAAAAAATTTTAATTATTATTATAATTGATAGTTAATATTAATTAATATTAATTAATTATTTACGTAAGTTTCTTCCTTTAAAAGGTAATATTTGTGGGTTTATTTTATTTAAAGTTGTTATTTACATTCCCAGGATTAATTTTATGCAGCAGAAAAAAATTTACATAAGTTTTAAACGCATGAAACTGACTGTCCCCATTTACCCCAAAATTTAGAGAATTTCATAAAATTTGGGGTAAATGGGGACAGCATAGGTTCTAGGAAGATTCTCCTGAAAGGGACATTTTTAAATGGTCCTAAATTATTTTTTCTTCTTTAATAAATTTAAGAAATCAACTCACTATTAATTGTTGAAACAAATTATTTAATTAAACAAATTAATTGTTGTTGTTGACTACAGTCAAAATTTTGCATATACTTTTGCAATAAAAAATTCTTTAGCAGTTTGATCAAGTAGAATCTATGTAGGAGCTAAAATTACTTCATTTTGAACCTTCAACGAAAATGTAATTTACATATTCAGTCAAGTTTCGCCTTAAACATTTGCTCACATGCGGACATTTTAAGATTTAAACCATCTTTTCTGAACGCGGAGATGGAACTTTCCCAAGGTAACCTAAAAACATTCAGTGAAGCTTCAGGGAATTACCGGTACTGTGTGGGCGTGCAAATGCAGTGCTTTCTGGTACCACAAATTGACGGTAGAGCGCGTGCAAGATATATATATGTTTTTGTTCCCTTTTAAATATTTACAATAATAATAATAATAATTTTAATAAATAATACATCTTGTAATTACAAAAATTATCACAATCCTTCTGGAGTGTAATTTGACTTTCTTTCTTGATACTAAACTTTACTAAGTTAATTATATCCCCAGATTGCATAATGAAATAGTATTTAACTTGAAGTTCTACAAAGTTTATGAATATGTATGATTTTTAGATGTGTGGATAATTTGTACTTTTTTACCTCCTAAATGTAACATCTTGGCAAGGTTATTTAAGCTTCTTTCTACAAGAATTATATGATGTAAACAAACTTCGAAGAAAAGCAGGGGTGATTCTGAATCAACCTTTAAAGCAGTATACGTGTATTCGTATACGGACTTTTGTATGTGTGTTTATATTGTAGAAATTGTGTTCATCACAGAAGGTATATATATATATATTATCTCGTCCGCTATGTCAGTAAAAAATTCAGCAAAATTGCGTATAAAAAAAATCCAAGGTTAATTTTGTCTGCGTAAATAAAATAAAATATATCTTGTGGAGTTTGTTGTTATCATTACTATAATTGACAATTGTATTTAATCAAATAGTAGAGGAGGATGGGGCAAGGATAGTTAGTTGCTGTTATGTTTAGACGGCTTGCTCAAAATTCGCGTCATTCATGGTATATTTGCGTCTTAACACCAATAGATGATAATGATAGTAAAAATTGGAAATCAATCTGCCACCATTTGCGAAGACAGGAGTTTATTTTTGTAAAAAGTCTGTTTTGCTAAAATGTCAACGTAATGTTTATCATATTGTTTTCTATATTAGTGCTTCCGAATATTTATTTACGTAAGTGTTTTCTGGAGTGGAATTTTCTACTGAACCTTTTTAAATAAAAAATTTTGAAAATTAATATCTCCAAAACGAAGCAAAACACCTTCGTAAGATTTTAATAGAAGGTAAAGAATATTATAAAAAATCTTTGTGCAAAACCTCAATTTTTTTGGAGCACCGACAAAAAAGTTATAACCCTGGCGGATCTCGAAATCGGAATGTACGCTGAATTCGTTGTACATTCGTTACACATTGGTTAAACATTTAGTTGGAGTGAAAATTGTGTAGAAACTGAGTGGAAACTGTGGAAAAGTGTAATTGAATTGAATAATAAAAGTATTTAGTGATAGATTTGTGCTGTATTTGTGATAAATTAACGTGTTATTATTAAATAAATAAAGTTTAAAGTGTAAAATGTTCGCGTAAGTGAGTTTGACAGGCTAGGGAATTTTCTAGTGACATCCAAATTGATAGTCGATAAAGAAGATGAGCCGCCGACTTTGCACGATAGGTGGCAACATTCATACTTATTCTCCTTTTTAAAAATTCTCTTTTTCAATTATAAATAGAAAAATTAATTAATTAATAAGTTATATAGTTTCTATGTTGTCATTTTTTTAACAATTGAATTTTTGAAGATTGTTTAATGACATAAATTAAACTTGTATAATCGATGCAAATTGTTGTATTTAAAATACTTTTAAATAAATCTTTTCTTCTAATTACATTTATATTAAAAATAAATAATAATAAAATAAAGAAAGATAAAAAAAGTTTTCTTTATTAAAATTATGGTTCAATTAATTTCATTGAATTTAATTAAAAACCAACAATTTGCATCGATTATACAAGTTTAATTTATCTCATTAAACAATCTTCAAAAATTCAATTGTTAAAAAAAATGACAACATAGAAACTATATAACTTATTAATGAATTAATTTTTCTATTTATAATTGAAAAAGAGAATTTTTAAAAAGGAGAATAAGTATGAATGCTGACACCTATCGTGCAAAGTCGGCGGCTCAACTTCTTTATCGACTATCAATTTGGATGTCACTAGAAAATTCCCTAGCCTGTCAAACTCACCTACGCGAACATTTTACACTTTAAACTTTATTTATTTAATAATAACACGTTAATTTATTACAAATACAGCACAAATCTATCACTAAATATTTTTATTATTCAATTCAATTACACTTTTTCACAGTTTCCACTCAGTTTCTACACAATTTTCACTTCAACTGAATGTTTAACCAATGTGTAACGAATGTACAACGAATTCAGCGTACATTCCGATTTCGGGATCCGACAGGGAAGTAAATAAAAATCTTGAGAATATTTAAATAAATTTTTTTTTTAAAATCGTATATCATCCAAAAATAATAAATTTTTGCAATAATTCTTTCGTTCCTTTGTACAGAATAAAGTGATTTATGTTTTTGGTGAGTTCCAACATCTAATTTTTAATAGCTTTTTAATAATAGCGTTTTTAAAAAAATTGAAAAATTTAAGGTTACAAAATAACATTGTGAACCTCCTACTTTTGATATTTAATATTTTTAAAGGGAATAAAATTTTTACCATAATAATATGGTTAATGAACTCAGGGAATCATCGAGTTTCACATATATTAAAACTAGATTTTTTAAAAATTTGGTCGCAACCACTATTAGACGAAAATCAGTGGACTGACCCTTTTACATAATTAAAATAATAAACATAAAATTGTTTATTATTAGAAAATATTTACTTTTTAGTAAAAAAAATTTTGTTTTTCTAATTGAGTTTATTTAAATAAAATTATTTTGAGTTTTTTTTTTCTGTTCTAAGATAGATATTAAATGGCTGACAGAGCGAGAGAGGACTAGTAGCGCCGTGGGGCAAAGTTGAACTAATAAACTTCGTCGTGTTTCCAAAATTAATCTAGGATGTTAACGTCGAATAATCAGCGTAACCTGTCAAATTGATGTGCGGTAGTAAATCATGATGAAGTTGAAATGACGCAAGAATAATCCACAGTTATTCGAAATAGTAAAAGTTTCAATAAATTGGAAGAGGAAGGACTATGGACAGCTGGGATCAAGACTGGTAAGGTAAGGTCACAATGTTTATTTTGAAATATAACAAACATTAATAAAAAATAGTTTTCTACTATTTTTGTTATGTTAATTAACAGTATAATTATTTTTTTTAATATAAATCTGTTTATATAAATGTTTGGTTATCAATTTGATAAACTGGTGGGTCCTATTAATATAACAAGATACGTTGTTATTGATCCAGCTATCTGCAAATAGACAGCAATTAATTAAATCTTGATTACACGTAATTTATGTATTAGTAATGCGTATATGTATATATATTAAAAATAAGGAATTACTGAAAGAAGCAGTTGAATGTCAACAACAAAGAATCCAAAGGCTGCTTTGAAATTGAATGAATAGTTGAGAAAATAGTGTCCAATTAATAATCTCTCCTAAAATTAAACAATATAAATGATTATTTATATAATTAAACAAAATGTGTATAATATTTAATATTATTAATATTAGTAAAGATAGAAATTGTTTTTTTTTTTTAAATACACATTTTATTTTTTAAAAATCACACGGAGAGAAATAGATGGTACGGGGTACTATCTAGATAATACCAGGTACTATATTTGATCTTACATATACGGACAGTAATCTAGATTATATCAGTTACTATCCAGATTGTACGGAGTAACATCTTGATTGTGCTGGGTAACATAACCATACTTTTTCTAACATCTTTGATAGTACCGAGTAGCATAATGATGGTACCGGATAACATCTACTTTTTACCATCTTAAGATCGTAAATTCTTACCATCTATTTCTCTCCGTGCATTAAAAATGAGCTTTCTCTAGTCAACGTCGGGCCTTAAAATACTGAAATAAATTAATTTTATACAGAAAATATATAAAAATTGTAAATAAAATTTTTTAAACGAAATTCAAAACGTAGATTTAAATTTTTATGAAAAATTATAATAGGTAAATTATAAAAATGACATTGGTGAGTTTTAGGTTATGTTTGTCATTTTTATTTCATTTCTATAATTTATTATAATTTTCCTTAAAAATTTAAATCTACGTTTTGAATTTTGTTTAAAAATTTTATTTACATTTTTTATATTTTTTCTATATAAAATTATTTTATTTCAGTATTTTAAATCTTAAGAGGCCCGACGTTGACGGGCGACAGTTAATTTTTAATGATTTTTAACAAATATAATGTAGATTTTTCAAAAAAAAAAAAAAAAAAATCAATTTCCATCTTTACTATTATTAATATTATTATTAGGTATTAATATTAATATTTTCAATTTATATAATTGATAATAATTTTTGTGACCCAATGATTCAATACATACATATTTTTAATTATTTATATAAATCTATTGTTAATTTAATTAATTAAAATTTTATTATTATAAATTATTTAATATTTAATTATTAATATTACTATAAAATAGTTATTAGAAATATACTTCTAAAAGTTAATTTTCAAAATTACCCAGATGGCACGTAAGCTTGCGGCAAGCTTGCCGTGCAATATTGCCAACCTTGAACGGCATACTTGCCGCAAGCTTACTGTAACCTTAAAATGTCCCACCCGGCCGAAAGCTTGCATGGTAAGCTTACCGAAAGATTGCAGTGTAAGGTTACTGTAAGATTGCACAATAAGATTATCGCAAGATTTCTCAGTAAGCTTGCACGGTAAGCTTGTAGCAATGTTGGTGCAAGGTTGCCAAATAATCTTGCTTTGAACCTAAAAAATTTTTTTTTTAAATATTTCGTTTAATTCCTATAATAAAATTTATATAATAAAATTATATAAATTAGATGAAATATTTTTAAAAAATTGTTTTTAGGTTCAAAGCAAGGTTATTTGGCAACCTTGCACCAACTTTGCTACAAGCTTACCGTGCAAGCTTACTGAGTAATCTTGCGATATTCTTATTGTGCAATCTTACAGTAACCTTACACTGCAATCTTTCGGTAAACTTACCATGCAAGCTTTCGGTCAGGTGGGACATTTGAAGTTAACAGTAAACTTGCAGCAAGTTTACCGTGCAAGGTTGGTAATATTACGCGGCAATCTTGTCGCAAGCTTTCTACAAGCTTATGTACTATCTGGGGAACTATTTATCAATTAAAATTAAAGTCCTTATAGTATAATATGAATTATGCTTATTGAATACTAGATAATAAAAGTTTTGCAAATCTGTCAATCGATTTTGTTTGACATTCACAGTGTTTTCGATTAGTTCATTCAGTTTAGTTGAATTTTTTTAGGAAACTTTTGAGAGTTGACTGTATTTCTAAAAAATCAAAAAATTGCATACTTCTTTAGTGCTTTGCTTATAGCTCCGAAAATATTTAGGTGAAAACATAATTGATGACATCTTGTTAGCCTGCAAACATTTTTGTTTTAATTATTAAAATATAAATTTTTTGTAAGCCACAAATTTTTCAACGTGAAAACTATAATTTTTCGAAGAATACTTATTTCTCTAATAAATTTAAATTTAATGAAATATCGATATTAAATTGATCTGTATCATATTTTTTTAAAGTCTTTCTAATAACATTCCTAATTTAATAAAAAGTAGATATTTGAATTTTTTTTGAAAATTACATTTTAAAACAATAAATTTTTTAAATATAATTTAATGTATAATAAATTTTGTAAGAAATTAAAAAAATTGTTTTTCTACTCACTTCTTTAGAAGTTATGTGACAAGTTATTGACAGAAATGACAATAAAATAATGAAATATATTACAAGACAAATTTCTCTCAAGTTCCAATAGATGGATGTCACAAGTGTTGTTGTAAAAAAGATATAAATTCTTGAAATTGTATTAAAAGATATTGAAAAAACCCACAAAAACAATTGTATTGAATACAAAGTATTTAAATCATTTACTGATGAAGATAATTGATTATGAAGTGACCATATATCATGCAAATTACTTGATTCATTTACATTGATTACATCAAGTCCTTTACTAGCAGATAATTCTGTTCAAAATTGAAATATATAAAATTAATTCACATAATAAACGTAACTATATATGTCGCGCATGTTTTATTCCATAAAAATCTTTAGTTAAAATTTTCATTTTAAAAAATTTTATTAGATATAATTATTTTATTTTTCAGATGAATTTTCACTTTCCGAATTTTTATTTAACATAATTTTTTGATACCAAATTTTTAATTGGAAGAATTTTTATTTTACATTATTTTCTCTTTTCTCAACTATTTAGTTAAAATAATTCTAATTGAACTGAATTTTAATTTAGCAGAATTCTCATTTAATAGATCTTTAAGTGCTTCGAATTTTTAAATATTAAAATTTCCAATTTAGCGAATCTTAATTTTTAAAAATTTTTATGTTTACGAATTGATATTTTTGATAGAATTCTTAAAATGGCTAATCTTTATTTGTCTGAAATTGCAAATGGCCGAATTGCTATGACCGATAGAAAAAAAAATTTTTTAATTTACCACTAACGATTTTCTAAAAGATTTCTGATTAGTCAGTTTTAAAAATCGCGCCGAAATCTTTTCTGTTGATTATTCAATAATTTACACTCTCGGACCAATGAAAATTGATCGTTTTAAGAACTTTATCAATTAACAATTCGTATAAATAAAAATTCGGACCAATTAAGATTCGGTGAATTAAAAATTTTTTTCATTTAAAAATTCGATTTAATGAGAATTTTGCTAAATTAAAATTCTATTAAATTTAAATTATTTTAAATAAAAAGTTAGGTAATAAGAAATTCTATGAAATAAAAATTAATTTAAAAAGAAATAATTTCAAATACTAATTCAAAAAAAAGAAAATTCGATGAAAAAAATAATTCTATTTTATACAATTCTTTAAAATAAAAATTCTAACTAATGATTTTTATGGGATAATCATGGACCCCAACTATATATTAGTCACAATTTTCAAAATATATTATAGTAATATTTTTTATTTTTAAATATAAGTGTTTATTGATTGTATATATTTGACGCGACCTGAAGAAAGGGACCTAAGAATTAAAAAATTATAGGTTATGTTTATGATAGTTTTAGCAGTTTAATTATGTAAAATCAAAATCAGTTTTTATTTTGAATTTAATAAAAATTTCAACATCAATTGTTTTTATTGAGATTTATATTCCCGTTTGTGTATCGAAACTATTATAAACATAACCTATAATTTTTTGGTTCTTATATGTAGGGTTGTAAAGTTTCATGAAATTTTCGTTGAATGAAAGTTTCAAAAAATGAAAATTTCAAAGTTTCAAAGAAAGAGGCGGGAATATATTTAAATTATATATAATAAATCCTTATTAATAATAATATTAATTAATTTAACGACTGGAAATAATAATGTTTTAAAACGGATTTTTTGGTCATATTTGATTTATTACTATATTAAAATTTTGTCTCCGTTTCGAACTGGAATCTGTTCATTTTCAAAGCTATAAACATTTCATACAAAATACGACATTAAATAATTTTTCAATCAAAACAATTTAAATATAATAAATATTTGTTTTAATTTTCGAGTGATTCGTTTTGATTTTCGTTTTGATTGAAAAATTATTTAATGTCGTATTTTGTATGAAATGTTTATAGCTTTGAAAATGAACAGATTCCAGTTCGAAACGGAGACAAAATTTTAATATAGTAATAAATCAAATATGACCAAAAAATCCGTTTTAAAACATTATTATTTCCAGTCGTTAAATTAATTAATATTATTATTAATAAGGATTTATTATATATAATTTAAATATTCCCGCCTCTTTCTTTGAAACTTTCATGAAACTTTCATTCAACGAAAATTTCATGAAACTTTACAAACCCTAGAGTTTAACTTCACATAAAAAGAAAAATGATTCTTACAAACCTTTTATTAAATATCCATTAAGATTTTGAAATCGTCTACAAATAACAATTACAATTAGCAAAAATTTGATAATACCAAATATCATAGAAAGATATAGTTGAACATAAACAAGAGCACCAGTTCCTTCAGAATTATCCAAAAAAAATGACAATGATCCCATAAGAAGAAAGAACATGACATTTACAATTGTCAAAATCCATGTTATTATTACAAGATTGTATTTTTTCTTTTTTTGAAATTTTATCATTTTCTCATAGTACCATGTATTATTTATGGAATTTTGCATTTTTCGATCCCAATAAATACAGAGAATAATATCAACACATATTGTTAAATTAAGCAGCAATAGTCTTATTATTGAAAGTGTTTTGAGCTTTAGATCAACATTATCATAATAATAAATTTTTGCACGATAAAAAAATACATAAAAATGATAAATTACAAATATCCCTGAACATATAACGCCAATATTCGATAGAGAAATTTTTTCATTCGATATTGTATAGGGTGACATTCCAAAAATTCGACAAACAAAAAATATTGGCTTTAATTCATGAATTGTTTTATCATCAAATGAGTGTTTAAAATTTGTTTTTGAATTTTTATTATTTATTTCATGAAATTGTGTCACAAAGATTTTTGTTACTTTTTCCTTATTCATTTTTTTTATGTATTTTATATAAATATATATATACAGTTTGAATAATGTCACTTTAAGTTTGAAAAATTTTTCAACTCTTATTAGAAATTTTCAAGTTCTTTTTTTTCATTCTGAAACAATTTAAAACACTTGAATAATTTAGTTTTGGTATTTTTATAAATCGTACGTGTTGAATAAAAATAGAGAAATGAAGAAATACACTCAGAGAAATGGTATATTTGTCTCCGAGCCTACTAACTCGTTTATTTGTTGCAAATATATTTTATTTCATTGAAATAAAAAATTTATTTGAGGCAAAGAAAAATTTATTTCTGACAAATAAAACTTTTATTTACGCCAAATAAATAAGTTAGTAGGCTCTGAGACAAATATACGTTTATTTAACTCAAATATATTTTATTTGGTTCAAATAAATCATTTCTCTACGTGATAAAATAAAAAAAAAATAATAATTTTGCATTTGTCATAGTGAAAGTGTTTTTAAATTTACACAATAATTTGATAACATATAGCGTCACTAATTATAATTAGTGAATTATTTTTAAGTAATATAATATTATGACAAAATTTCAATTTCTTACCTTCTTTCATTTTAAGAAGTAAAAGCAACCAACATATTTTACTATTTTGTCATTTAGAGGATATAAAACTTAATTTTCTGAATGCGGAAGTGTGACTATTAACAGATTATTGAAAGCGCCTAAATTTGGGGTTTAAGATTAATGGTTAAAAAAAAAAGTTAGTGAAAAATACGCATTAACTAAAAAGTAACACAAAGAGTATAATTATCGTATTTGAAAATTACTTATCATAAATTTCTAATTTTATGAAAAATAAAATATGTCCATTAATAATAATTCATTTTTTTTCCTACCCTTTTCATTTCCTGTAATTAAATGTTCATTTTTATAAGATATAGAAAACATTTAAAAAACCATGAATTATTAATTAGGATTAATAATTTAGAATCACTTAAGCCTCAGTTTTTATTTTCAATTTGCATATAAATATTTAAATATTAATATAAATAAATAAATAAATAAAAAATACTTTTTGAAAATATTATTGCTTATGTTAATTTTTAATTTTGCATAATGAAAAATTCGATGTCAGTTTTTCAAAATCAAATATGTTGAACGAATTTGTAAAAAATTTCCATAAATTTATTTGAAATTAATTACAACTAAATTTTTTGAAAATTCGTTGATGTCTTAAATTTCTCAAAATGTTTGATTGTCATATTGGATCTAAAATTTTGAATTTTAGAAATCGGACTTCAGATTCGTTATTAGCGACTCTAAAAACTCCTGAGTAACAAGTTTCAACTGAATTTGATGAATTTTACACGGAGAAACTTTAGTTTGTAAAATTTGACATTAGAATAATTATTTTTACAAAAAACCAATAGTAAGAGAGGATGAAGTGATAAAAATGACATTATTTTCTACTACTATAGTACAAAATAAATTTATCGGTATCATTTAAAAGTCCCGTGCAGAAATCGTGATGTGGGCCTTATGAGGTACTTACCAGTTTTCACGATCTCTAATAAGGGCCTTGTCGGGAAAACTGATCAGTGCCTCACAAGGGTGTAATGATTTTCCTCACCATGCCCTAGGTAATGAAAACTAGTGAGGGCCTTACCAGTTTTCCATACGCATACCCTATTTTTTTATATTATATAAACTCAAAAAAATTCATGGTAAATTTGACTATATTTAATTGATGCATTTAATTGATATTGACTACATATTTCTCCTAGTTCCAGGGGGCGCCTATAACAAACAATAGTTGAAACAACTATGTAAAAATTGTAAGATTAACTGTAAAATTTGGTAAGAAAAACTATTCAAAGTAGTAAATTTATTATTATAAGTATTAGTATTGAGATCCATGTTTTCATCCTCTCCCCTACTAGTTTCGTTTGTACATGCCTAAAATATTTAAATTTATATACCTATTAGAGAAAAATCCCGAAACGCTGGGGATTGAACGCACGACCCTAACATTCGCAAGCCGACAACTTAACCAACTAACCACGCACGCACGCTAGGATGGTTTGCATGATATTTGAGGACATTCTTGTCACTATCCAGTTAATTTTACTATCCAATGTAAATTAAAAAAATTATAAATTCTTATTTTATCCAATGTAATTTGCTACTTTTAATAGTTATTATCTTCTTTTAATTAATACTTCTCAAACTTTACATAAAATTTTTTTTTTTGCGCCATCGTTCTAAAAAATGTGTTAATACCGTGGTAACTATGGAGAGTTTCATACTTAGGGAATTTAACAGGAACCCATAAAAAAATTTAGTAATAAGAAATAAATTATTATTTAAAATCGAAATCATTTAACTAATTTACAATAACATTTTTGCGAAATGTTAACTTTAAATACTTAATTAGTTTGAATTTTTTTTAAACCAGGAAATCTGAAAA